AGGGAGCCCGATGCGGGACTCGATCCCGGGACTCCAGGATCATGACCTGAGCCGAAGGCAGTTGCTCAACCAACTGAGCCACCCAGGCGCCCCTTTATATTTCTTTCTGATAAGCTACTGTATTCCCTTGTCTTCTTGCCTAAAATTACAGCAGATAGATAATTTGTGCAATGAGGGGACATTGTTAAGTTTGCATGAATGATTGTACCAAGTGATTTAATAGTTTGGGGTGTCGGATTAAATATATTTTCTAAGCCTTCATATAATTCTGGCCCTATGAGAAATGTGCAGATGGGACTTTAATCATCATTGTAGAGTTGAATGAATGAAATATTTCTTATCCTAGAGATGCAGAAAATACCTTCCTGATTTTTATTCTAATTGGGACAGTTCTTCTAAAGAGAGAATTTAAGTAGTCTTTTAATTTAAGAAGTCTTTTAATTATGTTAAACACGGTATTTGTCATTATGCCAATATTAGCCTAGTAAACTATGCAGTGGATCTCCGTAAACCACAGAAATGGTAAAAGAGGGGCTCCTGGGTGGCTCAGTTGGTTAAGTGTCTGCCTTCAGCTCCGGTCATGATCCCAGGGTACTGGGATCGAGCCCGCATCAGGCTCCCTGCTCCGCGGGAAGCCTGCTTCTCCCTCTCTCACTCCCCCTGCTTTTGTTCCCTCTCTCACTGTGTCTCTCTCTGTCAAATAAATAAATAAAATCTTTAAAAAAAGAAATGGTAGAAGAAATTGCTTGGGTAAACAGAGCTTTTTGTCCTCTTCTTACAGATAACTATGCTAAAAATCAACAGCAGAAGAAATACCAAGAAGAGGCCATCCCAGCATTAAGAGATATTCCTATTAGTGAAGTAAACCAAATGTTCTTCCTGGCAACTAAATAACTTTATGCCAAAAACTAAATTGTATGTAGACTAACACTGAGCATTTACTATAATTTTTTATATAATAATTTTGACCATAATTATTTTGACTCTCTCGTACCCAATATTGAAATGTAAACAAAGTAAGTTGATTCTTTTAGATTAAGTTATATTAATGTTATAAAAGTTCTTGAGTATTAGTTATTAACAGAATAAATAAAATGCTGCATTACCATATAGCAGACTTGTTAAAAAAAATAAGTATCAGTAAAAACAAGAAGTCCCTCCGGAGAAGCATTCATGTTATGATTTTTAAATGGCAGTTATGTCCTTCCTGCTGTTTTTTTCTTAGAGGCCCAGAATTCAAACTCTTAGATTTGGGAGAGGGGTACATTGAATTTGTGTGTTCTTGCATCATATTTGTGTCTAAGAAAGAAACATTTGTTGAGTACTTACTACATACCAGGTATTTTTCTAGATATAGCAATGATAAGATTCTTTCTGAAAGAGCCTACATTTCAGAAGCAGATTGAGACAGACTAAGCAAATAAGCAAATATTATTTGACGAGTGCTATGCAGAGAATTAAGGTAGTATAATGTTCTAGAAAGTAAAGGGATGACTATTTTAGCTTGGGTGGTCCGGGAAGGCTGTTCAGAGAGAGGCAGTTGAGGTGGAAATGTGATTAGCAAAAGCCAGGAGCCCATCAGAAGGATTGGGAATGTGGGAGAGCTTGCAGGTAAGAAGCAGCGGGGGGCAGAGACCTCCAGGTGGGAAGGAGCTCAGTGTGGACAGAAGCCCAGCAGGGGGCCTCGAGCACACTGCCCCAGGGAGTGTGGTCTCAGGGGAGCCTGGAGAGGCCCAGCACCACCGCACTGCTGCAGGGGGCTTTGTAGGCCAGCTTGGGAAGTCTGGAATTAAGTGTCAGTGTGATGAGTTGGAGGCCCTTTAGATTCTGAGCTAGAGGGAGGCTTTGAGGAAAGGCATGACCTGGCCCAGTGCATGTCTTGAAAAAGTTGCTCAGGCTGGTGGATAGAGGATGGATTCAGGAGGGAGAGTTGGGGGTGGGGCAGGAGTATGGATGTGAGGGGGCCGCTCTAAGTGGTGGCAGGGGTGCTGGGGATGAGCGGGTCGCTCTGCAGCCTTTGTCGGAGACACAGCTGACGGACAGGGTGTGTGGATCTGGTTGTGCGGAGTGGGCGGCTGCTGAGAGAAGTTGTGATTGCGGGGCATTCCTGGGGTCTCTGGATTGATGAGCTGAGTAGATAGTTATGCTTTTTACTGAATCAGACAGTATTTGGGGAAATTGAGGGGGTTGGAGGATTCAGTATATGAATTCGTTTGAGTGACTCCTCCTTGTTAATATCTAGTTGTGTCCATGTGAGATTGAGAAGCTTGGATAGAAATAAGTTTTAAAAACCATATGGGGTGCCTGGATGGCTCAGTTGTTAAGTGTCTGCCTTCGGCTCAGGTCATGATCCCGGGGTCCTGGGATGGAGCCCCGCATCAGGCTGCCTGCTCAGCAGGAAGCCTGCGTCTCCCTCTCTGTCTGCCTGCAGTTTCCCCTGCCTGTGCTCTCTCTCTCTGTCAAATAAATAAATAAAAAATCTTTAAAAACAAAAACAGACCATATGTAACTTAGCAAGAGTGTACTAACAGTTGGCCAGTGGGACCAAATCTCAACTCCTCAAGCATTCGAGGCCTTCTAACTTTTGACACCCAAAGTCTCTGTACAGGAATGGAGCCACACATTTTTGTGCAAATTTAACTATACCTCCTGTAAAAAGAAGAAAAAGAAACTATTAATTTTAAATAGTTGAGAAAACCAGGGCTTCCATTTTTCATAACCATATCCCTGCCTTGTAAGCATAAGACAGGTGACATGAATCTGCTATTTCTAGTCTGTCGTTTGTCCCAGCTCCTGTATTTCTAGGGTAAGAGCATGTCTCCACGCTTCAGTTTGAGAGGACCAGTTGGCTCCATCCAGGGTAGAACGGTAAATAAACAAAAAATATCTGTTTATACAGTGGAAAACTGGGGCACCTGGGTGGCTCAGTCATTAAGTGTCTGCCTTCGGCTCAGGTAATGAACCCAGGGTCCTGGGATTGAGCCCCGCATCGGGCTCCCTGCTCCGCGGGAAGCCTGCTTCTCCCTTTCCCACTCCCCCTGCTTGTGTTCCCTCTCGCTGTGTCTCTCTCTGCCAAATAAGTAAATAAAATCTTTTTTTTTTTTTAAGATTTTATTTATTTATTCATTAGAGACAGAGAGAGAGAGGCAGAGGGAGAAGCAGGCTCCCAAGGAGCAGGGAGCCCGATGCGGGACTCGATCCCAGGACCCTGAGATCATGACCTGAGCCGAAGGCAGACGCTTAACCATCTGAGCCACCCAGGCGCCCTAAATAAAATCTTTAAAAAATAAATATATGGTGGAAAACCACACAGCCATGCAAACAAGAACAAATCACTGCTCTACCTAACTACATGAATGAATATCACACACACGTTGGGGGAAAAAACAGACATAAAAGAATATATAGTGTATAATTCCATTTATATGAAACTCAAAATCAGGAAAAACGAACCTTTGGTGATAACTATACAATAGGAGTATTAACCAGGAGAGGCATGAGGGAACCCGTTGGGAGGTTAAAAATGCCCTGCATCTTGATCTGGGTTATAGTTACCTGGCTATAACAGAAGCATACTGTTAATATCATTTAACTTGTGCTTTTTAAAATTGAATCATAGTTGACATACTATCTTAATTTCAGGTATACAAGGTAGCCGTTTGATATTTTTATACATTACCAAATGCTCACCACAATGGGACTAGTTACCATCTGTCACCATATAAAGTGATTACAGTGTTATTGCCTATATTCCCTATGCTGGGCATTACATCCCTGTGGCTTATTTTGTAAGAAGTTTGTACCTCCTAATCCCCTTTAGATGTTCCACACATCCCCCCACCCAAGATCTGTTCCCTTGACGTAACATCAATAAAAAGGTAAAGATGCCTAAGCCCCATCCCTAGAAATTTTAATTCATTGGTCTGGAGTGGGGCCCAAGGAGGGGTAGCTTTTAATGACTCCTGGACACTGAACAACTTGCAGCCAGGACTGAGAACTGCCTGCCTTAATCCATTGGCTTTAACAACCTGTGGTCAACCCGGAGCGGCAGTTTCTTTGGAAGAATGGGTCCTTATCAGAGCAGTGCTTTCACCTTTGTGAGACTCCTTCCCAGATCAGCATCGTCCCTTTGTATTCCCCTCAGGCCAATGATAGGCCTAAAAAGATTTTGAAATGGGTCAGAAAAAGACCCTTAATTAACTCCAGTAACCCACCTCACCTCAGGCCTCCTATTAGCTTTTCATTCTGTTTCCCAACCACAGTGTCCCTACCGCTCGTAAGAGATTATGTCAGTGTTTCTCAGATTATGGGCTGCAATTCTTCCCAGGGTCTTGGTCAGTTTAATGTAGCGATTCGCACCATTTTTTAAAATCTCAGGACCCCCTTACACTCATAAAGAGTGTTCCCAAAGAGCTTTCATATATGTGGATTATACTTAGAAATTAAAATAGGAATTTTAAAAACATCTGTTTATAAATACTAAACCCATTATACTTTATATACTTAAATAACATTTTATGAAAAATAACTCTATTTTCTAAAACAAATTTAGCGGCGAGACCAGTAGAATTGTTTTACATTTTTGCAAACCTCTTTAAACGTCTGGGTTACTGGAAGACAGCTGGGTTCTCCTATCTGCTTCTGTATTCAGTCCGCACGTCTGGAGAACCACTGCACACTTGTGAGAGAATGAGAGCGGAAAAGAGAAGCAGCATCTTAATGGTTTTATGAAATTGGTTTTGACCTTACAGACCCCCTGAAACAGGGTCTCCAGGCCACACTTTGAGAACCACCGCTTAGTGGGCCTCAGCTGGAGTGTGTGTGTGCGTGTGAGAGAGAACTAGCCTGGGATGCGGTATTGCACTTGGTAAGGATAAGTATCTTGATTGAACACCTCTCGTGGCCACTGCAGATCTTTCCCATTCGACCCCTTACTCCAGCCCCTGATGCCCTTTTGATCAGGGCCACAGAGGTGCCACTCAACAGTGCACCCTGGCGTGGGGTGGGGGGGTCAACACCCAAAGGACACCGTGGAGCTCACTGTGGGGCAGGCATCCATCCCCCAACAAAGCCCGTGTGAGCCGAATTCCTTCAGTTTCGGAGCAGGTCTTGGGAGACTTGAGCTGCGGTCACCATGGCGACGGTGGCCGCGGTCCCGCGTGCCTGTGTTGACTCTTCTCAGTTTTGCTCCCTTGCTGCCCACTCCTTCCTAATGTCACTTTCCGAATAAACTGCCTACACACTCAAGCCTTTGTCGCAGGCTCTGCTTTCATGGAAACCCCAGCTGAGAGGTTTTTATTTTGTAAAAATTGTGCTTCAGTTACAGGGCCGGGATGTGTGATGCATTTCCCTGCTGCACGTTCTAATTCAAGAAAAATGTTGGAAAGACACTGCGTTTTACAACAAGCCCAACTAATAGCATAAAATACCCCCCAAATGTCAGTAGTATAAAGTTTCCAATTTTGCCAACACCCCCTCCAGTAATTAGATTCTCAACAAGAATTTCATTATGGAAGTCCAAGTGTGAAATCACCTAAATGAAAAGCCAAGAGAATTCAAATCCAAAATTCTTCCCTCCCTAATATCTTGACCTCCCCTGTTTGAGCAGGATCTCAGTCAGGAGCCTGGGTTTTCTCCAGAAGCTGAAGCCTAAGGTCTCATTAGAACAGGCGTCACTGCTTAAGCAAACTGATCCAACCCCAAATTTCTTCCATAGCCCACTTTCTCACGGAGTCAGTGGGACGACCAGTATATTAGCAGCCCCAGGCCCACAGAACTCAGAAAACCCGAGTAAACCCAGTGCTACCACAGTTGTCCCAGACTCAGTACGGTGGACGATGCAGATACCCCCACCTAGCCTGTCACTGTGGTGGGGACTGGACGGGATGTGGGGAAGGGGAGGCAAGAAGGAAGGGGTTCTTGATTTGTCTTCCCGAGGTACAGGTCAGGCTGTGGCTGTTGTCAAGATCTCCTCGTTCAGAGAATAACTCAGTTGGCTTAACTGTGGTACTCTACTACTTCGGAATGGGCAAAAACTGACTTATCCCTAGGGGCGCCTGGGTGACTCAGTTGGTTAAGCATCCGACTCTTGATTTCGGTTCGGGTCATGATCTCAGGGTTGTGAGATGGAGCCCTGCAATGGGCTCTACTGGGCATGGAGCCTG